TGCGGGACCATCGCTCCTCAGGAAACCTGGATTCAAATCCCACTCGCTGGGGGGCCCCAGGCCAGGCCCGCCTTCTGATCATCGCCTCCCTTGGAAAGTGGCCGGGAGACAAAATGGAAAGGAAAACCACCCTGCACCCCACCTCCAGTTCCTGGAGGCCCAACAGGATATAAACAGAGAAAATGATACTCTGTCCAGCCGGAAGTATAAGGCGATTTAATGTGTGTTCGTTTCTGTTCGGAGTTCGAATCTCAAGACGTCTCCGTTCTAGGGGTCCCGCCTGCCACACAAGCACCCGAAGCTGTGCTCGCCTGGAGGAAAACGGGGCTGCAAGGCGTCGTGGCTGAGGAGAGTCCGAGCCCAGGCCCAGCTGCGCCACCCCTTTCGTGATGGCCACCTACATACGAGGGTTCCCCCAGGTGAGCACAATCAGGCATCTCTTACAAGCAGTCCGAACCAAAGCGAACAGAAACGCCTGCTGAGCGCTTAACGCGCATAGAGATGCTCAGAACAAAACGCAGCTCAAATTTAGAAAGGTGCAGGGGTGGCGTATGAATGGAGCTGTCCTCCAAGTGCCGGGTTCCAGTCCTCATGGCCGAGGGAACGTGTTGTGGCAAACGCCTGCCGAAAGGTCAAACGCCAGGAAAATGAAAGGCTGTCCTGTGGGAACTGGCTGTGTGTGTGCGAAGAGCAAGGCGAGGTGGACAGAAAGACCAAACATGGCAATGTCAATTTTTTTGTACGAGATCGCACCAACAGATTCAACTTGCACAATTTCAGCATGTCACAAATATCATCCCCCCGCCCCATACACACACTGCCGCACAATTTTCATTACGTGTAGCCCCTGCGTAGGAACTCGGAAAGCATACTTAGTTACTCTGGTTCATCAGAAAAAAAATTAGGCTTGGAAGGATTAGGAAAGGGTAGGCTCTCTTAACCAAGCGACAAAGCCCGCCTGAAGATCAGAAATCGTCCCCCCAAAATAAGGACGGCGACGACAGGGTGGCCTAATTAGTTTCTTAAAATAAAAGCGCTGGGAAGTCTTGCCAACCGACCAAACTCTGGTCCGCGGCCAACCCCAAAGGGCGCCACGCTCCTGCACCATCTGCCCGCTTTTCAGCGTGGATCGGAGAGGCCAGGAAGAGGGGTGGGGGGAGCAGCCCGCATGGCCGGGGGGGGGTCGTCGAGCTCTCAGCCTGCCCCCTCCGCTGTAACGCAAGCTGAGAACCTGAGTTTTTTAAAAAATCAGTAAGTTGCTGTTCTGTGTCGGATGCAAAGCCATTGGAGGGATAAATCTCCCCATCCTGCCCCTTCTTTGGCCTGATTCTCCCAGAGTCGTAAAGCTGGAAGCAACCCTGGGGGGGGGGGGCACCTGGGATGCAGGAAAGGGATTGCCAACAAGGATCCAACCTTGGTTTACAAAACACCAACGAAGGAGGCTGCCCCGGGTGCAACAGCGCTTGCCTGGGTGGGGTGGGGTGGGGGGAGAGTGTCCGTATCAAACCTCAATCCTCACTTCTCCAGTCTAAGCAGGTCCCCCCACCTCACCCCTTTGCTTTTCCCACCTTTCCTCTACTGCTTTTTGCTTTGGAAGGATTTCGAAACAATAGAGGGCTGAAATCCTGTTACTTAGCTTCGTAAGCTGCAACGAGAGGAGAAACGGGAACGTAACAGAAGCGGCGACCCTCTCACGAATCCAATGGGCCCGCTCAGAGTCTCAACGGATTCTGCCCGGCTACAGGAGGCCGGTCGCCGTGTTTCAGATTTCACGCTCTGTAGCAAACTCAAGCTGTTTTAAACAAAACCCGCAAGCAAGGCGGGTTTGCTTGAAAGGCTTCGGATTTCTTCATAACGCATCGTATCACTCATGTCTACTGGTCCAAGGTCACCCGGGGAAACATCCTGGCCGAGCAGTGACCGGCGCTCAGGTCTCCCCCCGAGTCAAATCCTCTAGCTATGGCATCACACTGGCTTCCGGACCCCAAACTATCCCAGTTCCTGGGCTTCTCTGGCCAGCTGCAAGCCCCAGGGGCTTTGGCAGAGAGAAAGAGAGAGAGAGAAGCCTCCTCCATCATCTCTTACCTGGCGCTTTCAGAGACGGGATGCCAGGCGGTGAAAGGAGCCCATTCTGCGTGCCAAGCAGGTGTTCTGCCGCTGTGCCAGGAAAGGCCCTTCGCCTCCAGCCTCCCTCTCGGTGCAAAGCAAGAAACCAGCACCTGGGCTGCCCAAGGAGTGCAGAGCGCCGTTAATTGGGCAAGAGGCGCCCGAAAGCGCAAGGTAATTACACGGGAAATGGCGAAGGAAAGGTTATTTATTCCTTGCGTCGAGGCTCGGGTGTCGGTGGAGGGTTCCTGGCAAGGCTCCCCTCATCTCAGGCAGCCCCCTTGGAGGAAAACGCGGATCAGAGAGAGCTCAGAAAAGCCAGGCAGCCACAGACGGGCGGGAGGTTAAAAACCCATCCGTGCACAACTTATTTGCACAAGCCCGGTTGGGACACTCTGGAGGTCCTTGCAGGAGGAGGAGCCAGTGGGAGTTTAAGTCCTCGGAGTGAGGCCCTGGGTCTCTGGAAGGGGGGGGGTCTGGAAAAGGCTTCGGATTTTGAAGCCACTCGGCCACGGACGGTGAGACTCCGTCCCTCATGGTGGTTGTGCCTTACTGGAGCCTCGTGGGCACGGCGGTTCAACTGCAGTCCTGCAGCCAAGACTCTGCTCACAACCAGAGTGATGTCCTGATTGTGACCAGGTACCTGGCTTGAGGTTGACTCAGGCTTCCATGCTTCTGAGATTGGTAAATTGAGTACTCAGCGGTAAACTGAGTACCCTGCTCCCAGGGGCGTGGGAGGGGGGGAGGCGTTAATGTATAGCCTGCATAATTAAATGGAAAAACACCCAGAGAATGCTTGAAGCACTATGGGGCAGTAGTTAAGCCAGCACCCTTTGCTTTACTCCTCTGAATGTGTTTTTGGTGTTGCTTTGGTTTACCATTTTAAAGCGTGGTATTTGCTTGACCCTTTGCCAGTATTTGTCTGCTTAGAATTTCTAGCTTTAAACATGGTCTTTCGGTGACGTAAGCCACCTTAAGTCCTTTTTTCAAGGAGAAAGGCACGGTAAAAAAAACATTTTCAATAAATATATTGATGGTCTTTCAGTGACGTAAGCCACCTTAGGTCCTTTTTTCAAGGAGAAAGGCAGGGTAAAAAAAACATTTTCAATAAATATATTAAATACATAATATTTGTCCCACTCAGCAGCTAAATGTCCCGCCCGGCCGGCACTCAACAGCTTGTCTGAAATGTGATTCTCGTTCTCCTCTTCATATGCCAATTCATCGGCAGGTGAGCTCTCTGCTGCTGCCCAGGGGAGGTGACTCCGGAGGGAGGATGCTGAAGCCAGCAAAGGAGGCCGGGAAAAGAAAAATTCGAACCCTGCCTAAAGGAACAAGCTACAATGCACACCTCAGGGGACGCGATTTTCGTGCTGGCTCTGCAAACCTCCACTGGTGCAGGATAAAGCCTCTCCGCCACCAGAAACCTCAACACGCCGTGAGCAGATTAAAAAACAAATACGTAAACAGAGGAAGGTGCAATTAGCGTAATGACAGAACAAAGAGAGACTATTTCTACCATTTCTAGATTAGGCCCCGTTTAGCACAAAAAGGCTCCTATTCACACATCATAGAGGAAAGGGAGACCCGGCTGAATGGAACGTACTTGTTGGCTATTTATTTATTTATTTAAAATATTTATATGTAGAGGAAAGGGAGACCCGGCCGAATGGAACGTACTTGTTGGCTATTTATTGATTTATTTAAAATATTTATATCCCGCCTATCTCCAGAGGAAGGCCCAAGGCGGCTAGCCATATTGTAAAACCTCCTGCTTAAATCCCAAATAAGCAGTTTGCTCCGTTGTTCAAAATAAAGGAATTCTATGCAGAAACCTCTCCCGTTTCCCCCCCCCCATAACCCTTGACTCCATTTTTAATCACCACCATCACCAACTCTACTTTATATCGTAACGGCTGAAATCACGGCTGGGAAACACCTTTGGGGGGGGATGAATAAATTCAGGCTCAATATTACAGCCATCGGATCTGCAGCTGCTTTAAATTCCAAAATGGAGCCGCCAGGCTGGAGGAAGTGAATAATACTATTAAGATCCACGGGGTTAGAGGGACATCTGCTTAGCTTACCTTACTCTTTAAAGACCCACTGACATGACACTGCCTGGGATCACTGGTTTGGGGTGGGAAGGTCTAGTCTCGTGGCTCCAGTTTAATTCCCCGAACATTCGCTCTCTCTTGCTCTCTCTGTCTGAGCCTGACCTACCTCAAAGGGCTCTTACGCGGATAAAATGAGGAGGACGACGACGGCCAGGTGCATCGTCTTGGGTTCACTGGAGGATAAGCAAGATAGAAGGATTACTAACACGTAAATAAAATGCCACACTGACTGATGTTCTGATGTTAAAAACAAACTTTTTTTAAAATGGAAAGAGTAAAGGCTAGCTGCAGGGGGAATATAAGAGGGGTTGATCTCGGCCAAGATTTGGGGAGGGGGTGCGTGCATTTTCTCCCATGGAAAAGAGCCTCCTGACCATTTAAGCAGTTATTACTCAAGAAACATGGCCGCCTGCTGCCCCCTGCTGCCCTCCGGGTGGATCCCAGCCTGCCGGACAAACCTGCCCCAATGGAGGCACGTTAAGACCAGCCCCAGACTCATCATCTAGCGCAGCGGTTCCCAGATGTTCTTGGACTAAAACTCCCAGAAGCCTTCACCCCTCGCTGTGCTGGCCAAGGTTTCTGGGAGTTGCAGTCCGAGAACATTTGGAGACTCCAGTTTGGGAACCACTGAATTCTAGCGGGCCCCGGGGGAGTCCACGGGAGCGCCTGTTGCTGGCACGGCCTGACCCGTGTCTGCCCTACGGCCGCCGGGAAAAGTCTGGTCTGCCGATCGGCGAAGCTCTGGACGCAGCATCAGCTGTCGGGGGGGGCACTGAAGGAAGCGCGAGGTCACTCACAATGAAAAATAAATCCACAGACATTGTCCGAAAGGCCGTGTTTAATATTTTGGTTGTTTTAGGAGCAAAGCAGAACCCAAACAAAGGGGGACACGTCTTGCTTAATTCGTAAGCCACTCATTATTCCATTCTGCCCACCAGCAACACTCCGGAAAAAATCAACTGCCTAAAAGCTTCCGTTCATCCATCGCCACGTTAAGCAGATTTTTAAAAATTACAATCCCAGGTTATGTGTTCGTACAAGATAAAGGCGGAAGGGCTTCTTTCTCTACCCCATCTCAAGCACTTGGTTTGCAACCACGTAACCTGCCCTATCACACCATCCTCATCGATACACCGAGTGTGCGTTGTCGTGTTTTTGCTCCAACCTGGAAACACGTTTGTCGGCCGGCTCCTCTTTTCCCAGAGCTGCCCCACAGCCAGAGGTACCTTTGGGGCTGAAGCCCCACAGGAGAAACCCAGAAGGGAGAGACAAGACGGGTGCAGAAGAAGGGGAGGGAAAAAGGCATAAAGTGCTGGATAGGGCAAAGCTTTGGAACAGAATCACCGGCCGCTCTCCGTCCTTTGGGGTGGAAGAGACCTTTTGGGAGCACATCTGGACAACATAAAGTCTGGCTGAGTTGAACATCTGCACAGCAGGAAATGGGGAACCCCGTCTGAAGGAGACCACGTATAGACTCTCACTCATTTACTGAGCAGGTGATGGGCTGCTGAAGAAAGAGCCTTCAACAGACATGAGTTGATCTTTATTATTATTTCTTTAAGTAGATCTGCTTTTAAAATGCTTTTTCAATTTCATTGCGTTTTCAGATTAAAGCTTGTTCGCCTCGTATTGCAGCTGACTTGTGTTTTCCCTGGGACCCGCCCTTCCCACAGGCTTCCATTTACGGAGAGAGGCGGAAGGTAAAAGAAAGAGGTTAATGAATTAAAACAGCTCCAGGCTGGGCCAGACAGCAGAGGTTCCTGGACCCACGTCCGCTGGGATGGGGGTAGAAAAAGCCAGCAAAGGGTCATCAGCGCAGAAGGGGCGTGAGGGAGACAGACTGTCCTATTCCTCTCCTTCTCCCCAAAATCTGTGCACCACAACACAAAAGCAAAACCCACACACCGGCACCCACACATGCTAGCATTGGGGTTATCTGGAAGCCACCGAGTTCCATGCTAACCCCGTGTGTACGCCTGACCCCCCCACACACACACACATCCTGTTCTCAGCAGGAGGAAGTGAGAGCTCAACGGGACGCAGAATTTCGCTGCTCGAGTTGGCACGCAAAGAGGTTCTCGAGCAGAGCGCTGCCTTCATGAACCCCCCCCCCAAAACCATCGCCTTTCGAGAGGCTCCATCCACGGGGCTGCAGGGAAACTGAATGCCAGATTTTCAGCACAATGACTCCCCAGCCCGAATAAAGCCACCCCCAAGTCCACCAAAGCTCCATCGCTGGGGGGGGCAAGGGGGGGAATGTGATAACCTGAAAAGTCCCGTGTGTTTGCGCCCGCTACGGGGCTGAACTTTGGAGGCTCAAAAACCGGTTTCCGGGAGGGGCTCCTCGTCTTGGGCGTCGTCTTCAAACCCCATTCAAGACCTTCACCACTTCCGCCTTCAAAGAAGGGAGCGCATGAGCGCATACTCCCGGGCCCCCGATATCGGTCTCCCAGCACGCAAAGCCGCAGCGGCTCAGGTCCCGGACGGCCGCTTCCACCACGGAAGGAGGCGTGTCTGCCAAGAGGAGCAACCAAGGGTCACGAAAAACCAGAGAGGTCACCCCACGGACTGGCCCCTCTCTGCTGGGGGAACCCTTTTTCGTAGGCGTGAATCCAAAGCGACACGAGAGGGCCAGGATCTTTCCAAGCGGCTCATTCACAAGGTGCTGGTCGTCTTCTAGGCCTGGCGCCCCACCGTACGATCGGCACACACACCGGGTTGCCACCAGCACCTAGTGAGCGAGTGGCTTTTTGCTGCGGGCCTTCCCTTACGTGAGCGTGGATTAGCAACAGGATCCTGGCCCTGTCACTTTTATTAAGCTGCTATCTGTCCCTTTTATCTTACTATGGAAAATGTACACCTCGCCCACATCCTTACCTATAGATCCACGCCTGTTTTACAGATGAGGAAAACGAAGGTTGCAAAACAGCCGTGGGAGGTCTCTGGTTTGGTTCAAACTGTTTTTTTTTTCCTAGGACCGCTGTCCCTTTTATCTTACTATGGAAAATGTACACCTCGCCCATATCCTTACCTATAGATCCACGCCTGTTTTACAGATGAGGAAAACGAAGGTTGCAAAACAGCCGTGGGAGGTCTCTGGTTTGGTTCAAACTGTTTTTTTTTTCCTAGGACCAGGGATTTCCGAAGATTTGGATCCCCCCCCCCCGCCCGGCTTCCCTGCTCCATCTCTGACTCACTCTCAGCCAAGA